TTCATAAAGACACTGAACTCCGTTTTCAAAAATGGACATGACAGCCTTCTGTCTCTGAACATGTACAGAAAGCTCCCCGTCTTTCTCCTCCACCCCTCTCTTCTCAAAGTATCTTACCAAACAACAAAGCCTAGGATTCTTTAAGAAGAAACTATGGTGATACAACTGTGGCCAGAAACAGCCATGGCAGATAGTCAATGGGATGGAAGAAATATATATATATTTTAGCAAATATGAGCCTGTGGGCATCATAGCATAAGTTTCTCTCAACTCTAGGTGTATGCAAATTAGCTTGTTTTGTTTGATGATTTGTCTTCTGTGCTTAAAAATTGGAGTTTCTTAATGTCCAATTTCACAGACAGTCAAAACTACCTTGATCACATCTCTTTGCCTTAACTTGCTTTAAGCTCTAATTATGGGCTATCTGTAAAAGCTGTTTCTGGACTGAATAGTTTCCTATTTAATAAAAGATGGCAAACTGAAGGCAGGCACCATAGATAGAATCCAGGAGAAACAAACAACGTACCTCTCATTCTTCTTTTTCTTTCCTTTCTCACTGGGTTTTCTGTCCCTCTACAGCTCATTCAATCTTGGCCTTGTTTCTCTGTTTCTACAATATCAGCCAACAGCGATATATTTTTATACAGTAGGTAGGTAAACATGCTTGCAGGCTGAGACAGGCTAGGTTTACCTGGCAATTACGTGGGTTATACTGAAGAGAAAATCTGTACTGTTCTAGTGGAAGTGAAGTAGGCCTGAAGTGAAAGCTTAAATAGCCTGGTTCTAACCTCGCCCCAAACCAGGTGCAAATTATAGAGACTAAAGATCCTGGATTCCTAGCCTTCAGCAAATCTCTCCTGTGTCTGCCACCTCTCAGTGAAAATACTGTTGAGTGAAGTCTGTCTATGCAGTGGGGATAATGTCATCATCAGTGGCAGACACTGATTAAAGACTTTTTTTTCAATTTCAGGGTACACGTAGCTTCATCTCATTGTTTGAGAACTGTGCACATTTTAAAAGTGGAAAGGGAAGACTTTAATCAGCGGCAATCTGATGCTGCTTTTGATGTCTTTTCTCTTGCACAACAAGGGTTTGGCCAATTACTCAACTATTGGGTAGCAATGGAACAGGACATAGATTTAACTAATTAAAATCAATGAATCCATTTTTAGATAAGCTTGAGATACCTTCAGGTTTCCTTTAGAACACACGTCAAGCTTCTGATGTGTGGATTTCATGGTCTCAGAGTTAGGCTGGAGATCTCCCTCCCTCTTCTGTTGCTATAAATTACAAGAGAGCTGGTAGAAGTAATGAGGTCCCCAAACACAACAAAACATACTTGAAGAGTGTGATTATAACTCTCAACACCTGAGTCTATCAACCATTCCCTTAATGTCTTCCAGCCAGTCCATTTTGTTTCCTGTGGGAAAGGATGGGATATGCTTCCACAAAGGTATCTTATTTACAGAGTGAGGGACAAGATATACACTCACCCACCCTCACGCCCTATCTTTATCTGCAAACGTTGACTTGGATTGGTAGCAGAATCTTTCTTCCGTACTGGTGATGGGATAGTAAGTTTCACCTATTGACAGTAGCCGACGTGAAACCCAAAGCTGTGCCTTTCGAGAGAGAGGAGAAAAATGACCTGGTGGTAGTGGTGGCAGCAATGATGCTGATGCTCCCCCTCCACTTCACAATGGCCATTGTCTCTGCCTGTGGTGACCACCTCACTCAGTTAACGATTTAGTGGAGATGGCACTGTTAAATGATAGCAGCCTCTCTTCTGGCTCCTCAGGGAAGCTCTACATATCCTGTAAAACACACTGATCTGCAGGCACTGTCCTCTGTCCAGTGCTAACCTCCTATAACCAGGTACTACCAAATATGTTAACAGTAGCATGACTGTTAACTGGAAAAAAAAAGGAAGCAAAACTGGGTTTTCCAATTGCATGAATGATATAATGAAATTTGGAATATTGCTATTAATGATAAATTAACTTCAGAAATTAAGTTCGAAAAAAGGAGAGTTAAAGGCAAATAGATTTAACAAGATATGGAATGAATTTATAAATGGTGTATTGAGTAAAGGGAAAAAGCCAAACCAAGATTATATGTATTTTTGAAAGGGATATAGGGACAGTTAAATGATGAATTGAAGGTCATGTATAAGTGTCAAAAAATTATATAAGATATAATGGTCCCTAGGGTGAAGGGAGAACTACATTTTCTGTTACTACTAATTTTGTTGTATGTAAATGGTGTGAATGGAATGCAAATTTTATGTTATATTTTATTAAAGTGTATAGTTTAAAATGTTAATTTTTTTTAAAAAAGAAAGTCAGCCTTAAGAGAATGGGGAGCAGTTAATCACCTCATAGTCCTTTCTCCCTATGAAATCATACAGGTCCCTTCTTAGACCTTTATTGCTGCAAGGGCATTGATTGCTGTGGCACTAAGAACTGTTCTAATTCTTAAATCTGACACCAGAATGATGCATTAAGATTGCTGTTAGAACTACAATGAGTGCTGTGTTTGAGAAAATGATGGCATAGCATAGAGCAGGTTCTACTGTTGCTTTGTTTCCCTTAGAGGTAATCCAATTATACCAGAAAATGGCCAGCTATTTGTCTTCTGTATCCTGACACTGCTTCAGATTAAAAGATGAAGACCAACAAGATGCAGGAAGGTAAAGTTTTGCTCCATTATCCAGCCATAATTCCTGTCCTTGAGGATTAATGCATAGCTGGCACTGAGGAACATATATCTTTGAGGCCAATGACATAGCTGCCTTACAGTTGGCCTATTTGTTATTCCTATCTTTGCACAGAAATATTCAAGTGAGATGAAAAGAACAAACCATTCTATTGAGCCGTAGATTGGCAGTTGATAATGGGACAGAAGGAAGTGCTCTGCACAATATATTGTTAAATTATGTCCAATGAGTCACAAGTCATGAGCACTAGCATTGATGGATCTAAAAAAGGAACCAAAGAAGCAAGATCTGTCAGTAACTATGTTGGCTACAAATGTCAGGGGCAGAAGTAGTGCACCTCCAAATAGCCGTTGCTGGCAAGGAAATGGAATGGGAGGAGTCCTGAAAGAGGCTTCTGATAGGCCACTCTTAGAAAGAGGAAATGAGACTACATGGAGCTCCAGTCTGATCCAGCAGTGCTCTTCTTTTGTTGTTTTTTAACCAGTTACTCCCTCTGTGGCCAGTGGATATATAACTATGACTAAACCAATAATTAATGCTAGTTGTTGCATAAATATAGTGGTGCCTCAACTTACAAACATCCCAACTTACAACAATTCAAGTTACAACCAGCTCCTGGCCGCAAAATTTTGCTTTGACTTGCAACCGGCGCTTTGAGTTACTGTATGAATGGGGAAAAAGGTGGGGAAGGTAGGGAATTTGAACTGCTTTCAGTGAACCGTTAGTCAGTGAAGAGGCTGCTTCTCTATAGCTCTTTCGCCCCAGCGGTTAGAGAGTGTGGTTTCGGAGAGAGATTTCGGACTACCTGGTACTGTACTGTATTGTATTTTTTGGCATTTTTTTAAAAAAATCTTTTTGGATTTTTGCTTTTTGACTTTCTTTTTTAAAACAGAGAGACCAACCTATGGTCAATTACTGTAGAAATTTCTATGCTTGGTCAGGTTTATATCTTCACTTTTAAAACAAGGGAAAGTGTGTCTCTCCAGTTATTGTTACTCCATACTCAACCAGTATAGCCACTGTACAGGCTAAAGTTGTTTTTGAGAAAGAAAGAATGATCACATTAGTACTCATAGTTTTAAAAATGTATAACACGGCAGTATTGACATTGCCTCTTCATGTGCATTAGTAATGTTTTACTCATGTTATTTTTAATTTATTATATTTAAAGGCTTAAAAATAGAAAGTGAGCAAAATTATATTCTATACTCTTTGATCCTAGAAAAGCAATATTTAAGAGTAAGCTCTACCTTATCACATAAATATTATACCTACCTACAAAGTAGCATGTTACAGGTTAATTGCCTGTAACATGTTGCATTCAAGCCTAACAGCATCTGAAAATGCCACTAGGTACCCATCTGTACTTTAAAGGAAGGCAAACATTTAGCTTGGGATTGTCCCATGATGGAATTTTACACACCTGGATTTAAGCACAAGTTAGGTTAAACTCTTCAGCCAGTTTTTTCAGACCTGATGAGCATTCGGAGTGAAAAAGAAGCTATGAAGACTTCCTATGTCAATGGATTTTAAACTTCCTACCAACTCCGTCTGTTGAGATCCTCCTGAAAGGTTATCTTTGTAGCCTGGTTGTCTTGCAGAAGACTCAAGTGCATCTTGTAGGTTGGGGTGGGGAATATGTGGTCTTCCAGATGCTGTACAGCACATGCCATGAGCTTTAGCTGGCACAGCTAATGGTGAAGAATGGGAGGAGTTAGAATTCAGTAACCTTTGGAGGGCTGTGTATTTCCTACTTGTATGAAAGAATGAACCTTTGCATTCAGGAGAAGCAGTGGGCCAGGCCTACTTAGTCATACTGCTACCAGGATATGAACTGGGTGTGCTTTCACACCAAAAACGTTCCCCAAAATGTACACTGAAGACAAAGCTTTACAGATGCCAAGATTCTTGGAAGCGGCCCAATTAAGAGGGAAAATACAGACAGCGTTAAGAAATTTTATTTGGATCTGTGATGAAAGCACATAAATTACAAGTGGAAGAAACATCATGCCACAAAATTGCATAGGATTCTTACAAAATGTGAATTATGCATCTAAAAGGCTGAGAAACAAAATTATATACATGTTAAATGAAAAGTTTTTTCCCCTAAATTGATTTTAAAGCAAATCACTATTTCCAATTAGCCAGTCACCTACAATGTTTATACCAATCTACAAGAGCAATATTAGTTTCAAAGGAAAGCAAGATACATCCCTTTAAAACCTCTTACAACCACTGTTAGGTTCAAATGTCCAGAGCTAGTTTTTCTCCTAAGCTAATTTAAAAAAAAATCCTCAGCAGTGGAAAGATACAGGAAGTGTCTAATGGAGTTCCATGTATTACAAAGTAGCACTGTTCTCTAAAAGCAGAAATGTCCACAATATATTTTTTCCACTTGTTCAACACATAACAAGGCAGATACATAAAAAGGCACAAGACTCTCACATCATAGACTCCTTTTTTTTTCATTACCTTACTTTATTTCAAGTAATATTAATGGCAAATAATATATCACTGTAATTTTGAACAATGCAAGATATACAGTATTACACACTAAACTACAACTGCAAAAAGGGGCACTGTACAGATATTAAAAAATAAGTATAGTCAATGGTCAAATACAAATGTACTGAAAACCAACTACAGCTGCTAATATACTCTTGTCAAACCATTAACTTTTTTTCATAAATTAAAAAGCTCATCAGAATTTCACCTACTTGATTTGAAACTGCACTATACGAGCACATCAAAGAAATAGTTTCATAATTGTTCTGAATACTGCTATTATTTTATCCCACCTAGCTTAAAACAAATTTATTTAACTTTTATCTTATAAAATGCAGCATTAAACTTTGACCCTTCCAGGTTTTTCTGTATTTAGTGATTAGTAATATTGATCTTCAAAGTGCAAAAGTAGAATAAATGATAGGAGTCACGCTATTAAAATCAAAATCAAAGTCTCAGTTATGCCTGCTCAGGTACTCCATTCATTGTAAGCAGAGTACATCTCTCTGATGTACTTTTCAAACAGTGTGCAACCATTTTCGTGCGTGCTGTAAATTAAGAAAATAAAATACTGTTCAGTCAAAGTTTTGATTGCCTTATGTACATTTATCATTTAACTTGAAACTTAAGTTTGATCTCTATTTATTGCTTACATTTAAATAAAATAAGTTATTTCTACTGAACTCCTGAGGGCTAGCAGACTACATATATGCTGTTATGTATTAAAAGTATTTACTATCATTAGAACAAATTTAGTGTTTCAGTAATATCCACAAAGTAGTTCTGTTGAGTTCAGAGGGGCTGTAGCTTTCCTAAGGTTAACCAAATACATCGTTTGGATTGGAATTAGAACCCAGTGTTCTCCATCCATCCTCCTGTCTGAGCATTTCCTTTACTTTTCATAAACATTCCAGCTCTGAAATGTCTATTTTATATACACATTGGAGTCAGCACTTCCCACATGCATGTCATACTTTAAAAAAAAACTGTAAGAGAGATGCCCACATGTCAGATACTACAGTTGAAAACATCTTAATAATTAGATCACTGATGCAATGCAAAATAATTATCCTAATAATAATTGAAAACAATACCCTTGAACCCACAAACCTGCTTTTGAAAACAATATACAATATTACTTTAAAGATTAACAATTGCTTTGTAATGATCCCAGTTTGTTATCACTGATCCAGACACGTTGGTCCTTATCCCTTAAAACTGTTCGTTTTGTCACAAGGGGAAACCCAGCAAGAACTTGCATGCTCTGTTTATACATAAACATTTGTGCATGTGTGTTTCTATACACATCTATGTGAACACATCACATATGAAGCATATATAAGACACATGTGTCTGTTTCAACTTGGGAACTTACACGAGTTACCACAGTTTCCGTAGAACATCTTAAACAGCAGAATATTTATCTGATAGATTATCAACAAAGCACACAATTGGTGCTTTCAGAGCAAAAATAAAAATACGAATGATTTTTTTAAAAAAAAATCAGTGCAATTGATAAGATGATACAAGGTGCAGTCACAAAGAAGGAAACTCAGAGTTAAGGATGCTATGACAATTGGGCTTGGAGTATTTATTTTTTTCCCATCGCTGCTTCACAGGGTGGTCTATGGTCCCCAGAGAAAGCTCCAGGCTGCACTTGGACTGAAATCTACCCATATAAAAGTGACCAGAGAAAGGACAGCACTGGCCTATGCATTAAGCTATCAACGAAGAGCTTCAAACAATGTAACAGCTTCCTCACCAACCACTTGTTTTAAAAATGGGCACTGCCTCTAACAATGTCTTCCACATCTGAAGCTGCCCAATGATAATTCAGGTAAAGGAAAGCATCTGGGGAACAAGGTGGAGACTTGCTGTGACCTAGTAATGTAGGAAAGTGGCACTGCAGTTGTTGTTAGAGAGGTGTATCAAAGACTTTTCCCGGATTCTCTTCCAGCTCTTCATTTTGCTGCGGTTTATGGTTCACTTTTCCACCCTCAGACACCAGGGAAGAAGTGGTTGAGCTATGGTCTCCCCCATCTTCACTGATTTTGCCTTTCATTGCTTCTTGAACAAATTCCAGAATTTCCAGTGGGAGTCTTTTGAATTTGTCTTGGTACTCTTGATCGAGTTCAGCCTGTAACTGGAAAGAACACCAACACAGTCATTAGGTAAAGGTAAAGGTTCCTCTTGACATTTAGTCCAGTCGTGTCTGATTCTAGGGCGCGGTGCTCATCCCTGTCTCCAAGCCATAGAGCCAGCGTTTTGTCCGTAAATAGTTTCCGTGGTCACGTGGCCAGCGTGACTAGACACAGAACGCCATTACCTTCCCACCGAGGTGGTACCTATTTATCTACTCGCATTTACATGCTTTTGAACTGCTAGGTTGGCAGGAGCTGGGAGAAGCGATGTGAGCTCACTCCGTCGCGTGGATTCGATCTTACGACTGCTGGTCTTCCGACCTTGCAGTACAGAGGCTTCTGCAGTTTAACCCGCAGTACCACCACATTCCCAACACAGTCATTAATACCATGGTAATGACAGAACTTGTGTGTTCTTCAAGGAATGTGAAATAAAGAATTCATCTCAATTTCTAAATGCTGGTGGTACCAGACCACAAAATTCTAGACTGCCTCTTTCAGGCTTTTCAGGTATATATGAAATAGTATAGGGGAATCATGGAAACCTGAGGTATTCCACAGGCTAATGGTCAAGGTGTTGACCAGGAGTCCCTCAGCACCATCACTATTCACAAAGTGATACCACACAAGGGAAAATCCCAGAAGCTGACTTCTTTTTTCATCAGTTCACCACTTCTCACACAAACACAAAGCAATGGTCAGGGCTGTTTTTCAACAGGTGTAAATGGTGGTGAGCAGAAGAGGGTATCCTGTAGACCATCTTGACTGCTCCATTGGTTTTGTCAGCATTCAGGCTGCTCTTTGCTATGTAAAGCATGGCATCATTTTTCCTGCTGGCAATGTGGGCATGATATTTTACAGCAAATTTTTTCTGGCTTTTTGAATTGTGGGTACAGAAGCACAATATCCTACATTCATAAACTGGAGGTCTTTTGAAGAATAGAATTTCCTGGCTTTTTAAAACGGGAGTTTAAATATACATAGGCTACCCACAAATCCAATGAAAAATTTCCTTCATATAAAATTACCCAATGGTAGAGGATTCCAGAAGATGAGCATATGATCTGTACTATGGTTAATGAGGGAAAACAGAAGCAAGAACTGCTTGGATGTGGCTATACTCCTTTTGTGCCAAAATATTTTGAAGGGCTGTTTTGGACTTAACGAAATGGTGAAGCAAAGATGTGAGTAGATACACCACATACAATGGAGAAACATACTAGAGATAGGCATGAACCTTGGTTTGGAGGTTCATGCTTCTTCAATGGTGCAGCACCACAGGTGTCATGTGTTCATTTCCCTCACCCCGTCGGCTCCCCCACTCAACAGTCAGTGTGTGCTGCTTTTCTCCTGCTCATCACACAATTGTCCAGTTGCAGCAGGAGCACGGGCTTCGCTTTTCCACCTCCTCCAGCAGCTGCCTACTCAGATAAAGAGGCAGGGCAGGGATGCCTGCAGTGATGCCTTTGAGTGGGCAGCTATTGGAGGAGGCAGAGAAGGGAAGTCCATGCTCCTGCTGCAGCTGGACAATCACATGAAGAGCAGGAGAAAATCAGTGTGTGCCGGCTGGTGAGTGGGGGTACCTGCAGGGGGGAAAGAAGCAAACACGTGGCACCTGTGGGGCCATGCCAATGAAGCAACCTGAATTTCTGAATCGAGGTTCATGCTCATCTGTAATATAATACACACCCTTTAACCTCTGGGTTAAACTAATCTTGCCATGAGCACTTCACCAAAAACAGACTGGAAAGCTATGTTCCAATTTCACATGCCTTTCTTTGACTTAGGTAATGTGAGAAAGACATGACATTCACAAGATGAGGAGTTGTCATGGAAGACAAAAAGGTGTGATCCTTTCTCTCCATCATCACCACCACCTCTGATCTATTTCAGTACAGAATGTAGCCCTGTATTCAAGCTTGTCTTGTATCACCATCAGTACCTGGAGCCATGGCCACTGAATCAAGCCACATCATTTCATCAAGAAAGCTAATGAAAAATGTCCAATATCGATTCAGGGAAACAGTGGTGAAAGTGACTGAGATTAAGTGTGGCTGATGAAGAAACAGCACAGACATTGGCTTTCTTCCAACCGTGGCATCCTCAAGGGGAAAAGCTAGTTATTGCAGTGCCCTCTATTAAACTTCTCTTTCCAGTGAGTCTTGAATTAGTAGGAGGAATTTTTACATTCAGCTGTGCTTCAGCGGATAGCTCTACACGCTAGGCATTTGTCTGGAGTACCTTCATGTACATAAAATATAACAACACAAAGGTGACCAAAATACTCCCCGAAAGGTAATTCCAGAAGTTACTTTTTCTGTCACAGAGATTGATTTCTTCCATACATTAAAGCTTATGCCACCGTTCCAAGATGATAATTCATGAAATCATAGACATGGAAGATTCGCATAAAGGTGACGCATATATGCCCTGAAATCTACATATCAGAATAATCAAGATCTAAGCTGCCCCAGAGATACAGGGCATTGTCTTCAGGTCATACAGATGTATTCCCATGCATTAGCAGTGGGTGTGTGGAGAGGAAAAAAGGGGATTCATTCTAACTGAACAATTGTTCTTCTTTCAAATGTCCTTTTGTTGGTAGCTGAAGAACTTAAGAACATAGAAGGACAAATGCTGGATCAGACCTAAGCATATCCAGTTTAGCATTTTGTTTCCATAGTAGCCAGAGTTCTCACTGTCACTTAGGTATATGAAAGCTACACATCATGGCTGGAATTATGCCTTGGCAATAATCTGGAGGAAAGGTATTTACTATGGGTTAGTTGCAAACAGGCACAGATCTGCTTCAAACATATGCCCTGTTTTTAGTGCTTATGATTCCATTCTGTGCCTCTCTTCTGTGCCTGCTGGTGGCAGCCCACACCCTCTGCCTGCCATGGTCCCTCTGCCCCACTTCACCCTGCTATGGAGTCCCTTCTTTTCACCTTTTGAAAAACAGGCAGCCCACATGGGAGTGCTGCTATTGAAAAGGGGACTCTTACCAAGGAGGATTTCCTGGGAGCTGAGGCTGTGCTGCAGGTATATGGGCTGGAGCAGAAAAGTGTAGATTGGGCACCCTTTTTAACCTGCAGCCAGGCCTGGCGTCATGTGCAGTGACATGAATCACTGAGGATTCCACCCAGCTTTTTCAGAGCATGTAATTTTGCATATTAGCATGACATGATCAGGATCATGTCCATGACACTCTGTAAACACGCCAGCTGTGAGAACAAAAGCAAACTAAATAGCCATGATAGTACCAAAGCCAGGACAAACATGAGCAACAACAAAAGGTATTTGGTTGCTTAGGTATGTGTATTGCACTTTCATCCTCATTTGACTCAGAAGTATTAGGTGGGTTGTCAAACAATCCTAACTCATGATGTGCTAAGGGATTGTCGATATAGCCTGTTGAGCTGTCACCTGCCATGTCAAGACAGCTCTGTAAACCCTAGCATTCAGAAACAGATAGATTGAGTACACTAGGAGAAGGGTGAAAATCTCAGGACAAAACTGCAGGTTCCTATGGCAGGGGGAAGCAAGATGTAGCCCTTTTCTTCCCCTGACACAATAACTTGTTCTTATATAAAAGCAGCAGATAGTACATGAAGATTTTGGAAGCTAGGCTCATGCAACAGAACAGAAAACAGAGCAGATGAAATCTCAAATCTTACTCAGAGCCATTTGTATTCAAACTGCTACATGCAGTCCCTTGGGTTTTGAGATGCCGATAAAGTCTGTAGAATTTAGGATTGGATAGAAGCATGTGGGGGTGGGAGGGACGAAAAACACTTGCTTTGGAAAGAGTGGGACCTCTGAATGCCTTTGAATTCTTCAAAACTCAAATCAATCCAGAAAATTCCCACCTTTGTTGCCTCCCATTCAGCCTGTCTCCAAACCTTATCTCTCTGATCCAATGTCCCCTACCTCCCAAGCCTCTCCCATGTTTTCCTCAGCATTTAATCCCATCATGGATGGCCACACATAGCCTTGAGAGATCAAAGCAGGAACTGAAAGATACTGTTCCTACTTACTGCATCCCCAGAACCCTGGAAGGCAGATAAAGGCTCACTCTCTCAAGCAGGGAAGAGTAGGACTTGGAAGTTATGGTTTGCAACTTTCCCAAGCTCTAGTTTGGAAGCACTTCTATAAGCAGAAGCGGGAGGTGACAATGCATCCACCCCCTGCCAAACCACCACACACCCAAAAACCCAAAGAAACCTACTCTGGAAGGATAGAAAACTTGCAAGAACAGAAACAGCCAGTAAAATAATATTTAAGCGCACAATAAAAAAGAGAAAAAAGGACAGTTGAATGCTGTCTGCTTTTAGATGCACTGCTAGCTGTCAGGCCTGCTTGAGGTCTCCATTAAAATTAGGGTGGAGCCAGAGATGTGCTCCATGAAAACAAGTGCTGGGGCTCAGATGAAAGGTATGGGGAATCAACACATGAAAAAACTCATTAATCTTAAATGTCCTCTCATGGATTGCTCCCAAAATCAAGATCCTGTTTTCTCAATAAAACGCTGCTGCTGCCTTTGGCCTAGAAAAATAGACTGGGCTTATGCCGAGGATGGCAAATTCATATTAATTCCCCCTCCCATCATCATGTCTAAACAAATTTACCCAACTTTCTGATTCTAGTACACTGTGAATTTTCAGCGCCAGCAAGTCTAGAGAAATACACTGAAATATCAGGAGGGGGATGCCTTGTATGGAAGAAGAGTGAGGCAGGCATAGGTTTGCCAGGTAAGCAGCATCCTGTCCCCTGAGATTTCTGGGCCAGATCCTGAGATCAGGGGGCAGGACCTTGTGATGTCACAGGTATGGGGCAGGCCAAGATTGGGCAGGGGATGTTTTTTCTTCAGGTCCTGCTGAGCAGCTGCAACAAGAACACTCAGGAATTGTTACGTGGTGCTCCATTCCCTGCTTGCTTTGGAATAGCATGACAGGACCCAAAGTTTGTGAGCCAAACAGTCAGGGACAAGGACAAAGGACTG